GGGAGGGAACGGAACTGTGCGCATGCGCAGAGCCCGCCGCCGGGGCACTCCGGCAGCTTGGACACGTGTGTCACACCTGTGTGTCACACCTGTGTGTCACACCTGTGTGTCACACCTGTGTCACAAACTTGCGTCACACACCTGTGTCACACACCTGTGTCACACCCCTGTGTCACACCTGTGTCATACTCCTGTGTCACACCCCTGTGTCACACTCCTGTGTCACACCTGTGTCACACCTGTGTCACACCTGAGTCATACTCCTGTGTCACACCTGTGTGTCACACACCTGTGTCACACCCCTGTGTCACACCTGTGTCACACCTGAGTCATACTCCTGTGTCACACCTGTGTGTCACACACCTGTGTCACACCTGTGTCACACTCCTGTGTCACACCCTGTGTCACACACCTGTGTCACACCCCTGTGTCACACCTGTGTCATACTCCTGTGTCACACACCTGTGTCACACCCCTGTGTCACACCCCTGTGTCACACACCTGTGTCACACCCCTGTGTCACACCCCTGTGTCACACTCCTGTGTCACACCTGTGTCACACCTGTGTCATACTCCTGTGTCACACACCTGTGTCACACCCCTGTGTCACACCCCTGTGTCATACGCCTGTGTCATACTCCTGTGTCACATGCCTGTGTCACACACCTGTCACCCCTGCCCCTCCATCCCTTCAGTACACCATGCCTTCTATTTTCTCTATCCCTCCATCCCTTCTATCATCTCCAGCACATAATCTTCTCTGAACTCTTCATCCCTCCACTCTTTCCATCATCTCCATCCATCCCTCCCATCATCTCCTTGTGTCTGTCACCTCGGTTACACTGTCACCTTCTCCATTCCCTCATCCTCCCATCATCTCCATCCCACCTCTGTCCCTCCACGCCCTCCCTCCCACCTCAAGGCTGCACCACCACACCGAAATTGCCGATAACTCGGTGCTCAGGTGGGGCTGGGAACCCTGCAGGGCTGATCCTCGCCGCTTCGGGATGAACAGACCCTAACTTTCAACCGAGTCCTTCGTTTTTTCCATGGGAATTTGGTGTTTATTGCATTGTTTGGTTTGGTTTTTGTGCAAAGCTTTGGATTTAGTGGTGCTCTGAGGTGGGGATGGAACCTCCCCCCATGGATGGCTCCCTGAAAGGCTGGCTCTGACCTGGCCGTTCCATTTCTCCAGGGATAAAAAGCTACTCCTGGTTTTCAGCGAATCCCTGAACTAACCCTGATGGGTTTCCTGCCCATCCCAGCTGAGACTTTACCCAGGAGAAGGACCAGAACCGGCTCCCTTCGGGCTGAAATCCTCCCCCAATACCACTGGAGCCACAGCCCACTCATTTCCCACTGGAAAATCCCTGATCCAACACACCAACTCACATTTTTAAGGATGATAGAGAAGCATAAAGCGTTTTTCCCCCCTCTCTCCCCCAAAAACATAATTTCCCAGTGGAATAAGATCAGAAAGAAACCTAAGAAACGTTGATATAATTATTTATAGGGTTAGAAATACGGTGTGGCTTCCATGCCAGCACTGGGCTGCGTTCCAAACAGGCAGGAATTGCTGCTCCGTTTGCCATGAGGCTTCACTGAATGCAGCACGAGGCACCTCCCTCGATCCTCAAACCCTTGCTCCTTTTTCTGGCTATAGAAATCTATTGCTTGATTAAGCAATAATATAAAATTAACCCCTGATATTAATAAAGGCAGCAAATACAGAGTTATTCTGAAAGCTAGGAGTGTCCTACAGTTCCCTCTTCCTCAATCCTTTGGGATTTTCCAGGAGGCTCCACAGTAGGGATTGATTTAAAATCTCAATTTGTGAGCAGCACTGCTGGTGGATTTTATTTTATTTTTTTAAATCGGTAGGAACACTCTGGAATTCACTCCATGAGTTTACATTCCAGGAATTGGGGTGTGTGGGTGTCCCCAGGACAGGGGTGGACTCTTCTCCAGCCTCCAAAGCCTTTCTGAAGCAGCGGGAAGAGCCCATTCCTGGCGGCACAAGGGGTTGGAAAAGAGGATTTCAGCCTGTGGGATACTGCTGGGCAGGATCCTGGGCAGGAGAGGAACCTATAGCTTTATTTATATAATAAAATATATTATTTTATAATATACCGTGGCAGGTGGAGGACATGGCAAGCCTTGAGCATCCCGCTCCCCACCACAGGCTGGACCTCTCCAAGAGAGCTCCTGGGAGCATCCCTGTGGGAAGGGGTGATGGAGCTGGCTCCAGGGGCTGGGAAAAGCCTCACCAAGCCCAGCTGCCGTTCCCAGGGGAGGAACCAGCCTCTGGTGAAGCAGCACAGGCAGCGACTGGCAGCCTCAGCAACCACAACAAGGCCGAGTGTCCGGCTCCCGGGGCTGCCTCCCCCGGCAGCAGCTCACGGCGAGCTTTTCAAGGGAAAACGCTGCTGGATCTGGAAAGCCTCGCACTTCTTGTACTTCATGGTCAGTCCGTACTGGGGGGTGATGTCCACGTGCTCCCCAGGCCGCAGGCTGAAGTGCAGCTGCTGCAGCAGCGTGGTGAGGAAGAGGAAGATCTCCCAGCGGCCGATGGTCTCCCCGAGGCAGCGCCGCTTGCCCAGCCCGAAGGCCAGCACCTTCTCAGCCTCCGTCCGGTTCAGTTCTGTCCCATCGGGGGTCAGGAACCGCTCGGGCTTGAAGGCTGAGGGCTCCTTCCAAAGGGTCCTGGGGCAGAGAGGGGACACTCCTGAGGGGCGCTTTGGTCACGGAATGGTTTGGGGACATCAAATCTTGACCAGTGCCACTCCCTGCCATGGGCGGGGACACCTTGCACCATCCCAGGCTGCTCCAAGCTTTGCCCAGCCTGGCCTTGGGCACTGCCAGGGACCCAGGGGCAGCCACAGCTGCTCTGGGCAGCCCTGCCAGGGCCTCCCCACCTTCACAGGGAAGGATTTATTCCCAGTATCCCACCTAACCCTGCCCTCTGGCAGTGGGAAGCCATTCCCCCTTGTGCTGGAGCTCCCTGTCCAGCTCTCTTGGAGCCTCTTTAGGCCCTGGAAGGGGCTCTGAGGTGTCCCCAGGTCCCGGCTCCAGAGCAGAGGGTCCAGCCCTTGGGCATCCTGACAGTTTTGACCCCCTGCAATGGGTCAGAGAGCAAAACCTGTCCTTGCAGAGAGGAGCTTTGCAGCACTGTCTCACTCCAGCGTCCCAAACTGCCCTTGGCAAACCCTGCCCTGGTGTAAAACACAACTCCGTGTCAAACTCCATCAGTTCAGCCTGCTGAAACCTCTGTTCCAGGCTCGGGCTGTGTTTGCCCAGGCAGGCACCAGAGATGGATTTAATTCCATCCATTTAATTCCAGCAGCCAGAGAACCTGCAGCTTCAGCACTGGGATCAGCCAGCAGCCCTTCAAACAGGAAAAATGGGAACCAGGGTTGTTTTTTTTTTCCTTTTTGAATCCTCTCAGCAGAACTTCCCAACCTGTCCCAGTGCAGCTGCTGGGAGATGCCAGGAGGGATTTAACAGTGATTGTTATCATATAACTGATTATATTATCTGATTATGATTATAGCTGATTATCGGCAATCACAACACAAGCCCACTGAGTTTGACAGAGTCGTCTCGCTGCATTTTCCTCCCTTAAAAAGGGAACCCAGCAATTCCCACTGAGCACATCCAGAGCTGCCAGCTCAGATCACACGATCTGGCAGCAGGATTGACCCATTCCTGATTATCTAGCAGCCTGCGCTCCCACATAAATTAGGTAATCCCTGGTGCTGGGGAAGAGCTGAAGCGGGTCCCAAGTCAAGCTGGACCAGCTCCATGCCCAGGAGAACCAAGGCTGCACTCAGCATCAAGCCCACACCATTTTTGGTCCAATCTGCCTTTGTGTACGTGATCCAGTCATTTTTTGGCACGAGGATCTGAATGCCAAGAGAAGCCAGGGCAGCCCAGACGAGCAGGGGGGTTTGGAATACTCACTCATCGTGGTTCACCTGCCACTGGTTGATGAACACGCAGGTGTCCTTGGGGATGTAGTAACCGTTCAGCACTGTCGCTCTTGTCGTGCTGAAGGGAGCACAGGTGGAAAGGGAAGTTAGAGGAGACCCACAGCTCCTGACAAGTCAAAGCCCAACGAGTCCTGCAGAGGTTTCATCTTCAAAGCCCTATTCGTGCCCTTAGGACAGGCTAGGAAATACCCCAGATTGCATTTGGGAGATTTAATAGTCTTGGTTACACTTTCCTCCAGCAGAAAAATTCCAGTTTCACTCAGCAGCTCATTCCAGACAAGTTGTGATGCGGTTCCTCCCAAGGCAGGAAGAAATATGAACCCAGCAAAGATTTGTGAGGTGAAACCACCCTCAAAACAAAGGATTCAACCCCAGAAGGGCAACAAGCTGGGATATTTCCCCCTCACAGGGATCGATTCCCTGCCAAAATGGCACCTCCCTGAAAACTATTCAAAAAAAAACCCCCAAATAAGACGTCAGCCACTCCAGCCCGTACCTGTGTGGGATGGTGAAGGGCACGAAGGAGGAATGCCTGAACATCTCCAGGATAAAAGCTTCCGTGTAGGGCAGCGTGCCCCGGTCCGACAGCCGCGGCCGCCTCTCCCGCCCAATGGTCCGGTCTGGGGGAGGTGGAGAGCGAGAAGGGGGTCAGGGCTGAGCAGAGAGGGTTGGCCCCAGAGGAATGTGGTTTGGGGACTCACCGAGCTCTTCCTGGATCTTCCTCTGGATGTCGGGGTACAAGGCACTGTACATGAGGCTCCAGGACAGGGCAGTTGCCACAGTGTCGAAGCCTAGATGGGCAGGGAAAAGGCAGTCAGTTACCACAAGAGGACAGGTGAGTGGGTCTTTCACTGCTCCAGATCTTTGTTCCCCCATCAGCTGCCACCAAAAAGTTCTGGTCACCTCTCAGGAGGGCTCCCAACAGCAGCTGCACACACCCAAACGTGAGCAACGTGTCCGCCCTGCAGCTGCGTGTCTTCACCCAGCCTCCAGCTTTGGGATTCATCCCAAAGACAGAATGGCGCCCTCTGAAATGTACCCACCTGCCCCAAAGAGGTCATTGACGATGTGGATGATCTTCTCGTTGGAGAGCTGGACGTGGGCATCCTCCCCGACGCTCTTGTCCTGGCAGTGCCCAATCAGCGAGTCCGTGATGTCCCGGATGTGCTCCTGGGGAAGACCTGGCGGCTCAGGGACACCGTGGACACACAGGGATGGGGAGAACGGCCCCAAATACTCGTGGGGAGGGGGGGAATAACTGCAGCTCAGAGGTGTCCCCCCCACACACAAGAGCATCCAAGCCCTTACCTTATCAAAGCTGCTGTAATGCTCCTGCACAATTTTCTGCACGAAGGCGTTGAAGCGCCTGTTGATGTCCTTGAAGATCTCCATGGTGCGGCTGGGGAGGTACCGGAGCACGGGGATGAAGTCGGCTGGGTGGCCACCCCCGGCAACCTCTCCAAACTCGTTGCCCAGGTTCACCAGGCTGAGCAGCTCCTGGTCCTCGTGCTCGTAGCGCTTGCCGAAGCACATGGCACAGATGACGTTGGCCACCGACACCACCAGGTACTGGTTGAGGTCAAACCTCTTCTCCTCCTCCATCAGCTGCAGGAATTTGGTGACCAGGTACTCGGCCTCCTTGGAGACGTGCTCCTCCAGCACGTGCTCCTCCAGCAGGCAGCTGCAGGACGACGTGGGGCTGGGGGCGATGGAGAAGCTCTTCAGGGCGCTCTGGGCCAGCTTCCTGCGCGCTTTCCACACCTCCCCGGAGTCGGGGCTGAACGCCAGGCTCTGCCCGTTGGAGATGTAGTGGAAGCTGTAGAGGTCGGGGCGCCCCATGAAGTCCTCTCCTTGCTTGACCAGGGCTTGCCTGATGGTGTCGAGCCCGCCGAGCACCAGCACGGGCCTGGTGCCGATGCGCACCTCCATCACATCCCCGTAGCGCCGGCTCAGCCGCGTCAGCGCCAGGTGCGTGTCCTTGCGCAGCTCCAGCACGTTCCCCAGGATGGGATAGCCCCGCGGGCCCGGCGGCCTCCGCAGCCCCTCGGCCACGGCCCGCTGCTGCTGCTGCAGCCACTGGAGCAGCAGGAACACCAGGCAGAAGACGGCGGCCACCAGCATCACCTCGCTGGCCGACACCGCGGCGGGGCTCCCCAGCAG